CCAATTTAAAAAGAACCAATTTAAAAAGAACCGCACCATACACTCAATCTGGGTGGGGCTGGACCTCATTCCTGAAGTCAACAGCCCCAGGCCTGCCGGAATAGCCAGGTTTTAGTGGCTTTTCGGAAGGCCGAGAGAGTGGGGAGGGTTCGGATCTCCTCGGGTAGATCGTTCCAAAGGGTCGGAGCAGCTACAGAGAAGGCCCTCCTCCGAGGAGTCGCCAGCTGGCATTGTCCGGTCGACGGCACCCGGAGAAGGCCCAGTCTGCGTTCTTATCGGCCGGTGGGAGGTATGTGGCAGGAGGCGGTCTCCCAGATATCCAGGTCCTAGGCCATGTAGGGCTTTAAAGGTGATGACCAGCACCTTGAGTTGTGTGCGGAGACTGATCGGTAGCCAGTGCAGCTCATGGAGGATAGGACACACACACATATTTATATATTATATATATATATATATATATATAAAACCAGAGTTTGCACTGCCCAACTCAAAGGGGTGTGACCACCACAACTAGGAATAATGCAGCACTTATTATTTAGAGAGAGAGAGTGTGTGTAATATACACATATATATGTACATACATGCAAACACACGTGTCCTTGACTGGCAACAGTCTTTGGTGACCATTCGAAGTTGCAATGGCACTGAAAAGTGGCTTATGACCACGAGGATGCTGCAACAGTTGTATGTGTGAAAAAGAGTCATAAGTCATTCTTTCAGTGCCATAATAACTTTGAGCAGTCATTAAATGTAGTGTAAGTCAAGGAATATGCACACACACACATATGTATATAGGTGTGTATATATAGGTCTGTGTAAGAATATTTGTAGCTCAGGGTTGGCATGAGAGATCCTTGGTGCTCTCTGAGCTTGCTTGTTTTCTTGCAGATGTTTCATGACCCAACTAGGTAACATCATCAGTGCCAGTAAGGAGTTTGCTGTCAGTTTATATTCTTATGCCTTGCCCTGTCAAGTGTTGGTGGGGGTGGTTGGATTGTTTCCTGTTGGCTTCTTTGGCAATTTCTTGATTGGGGTGTTGTTTACTTGATTGGTGGTCTGATGTTAACTTTGGCATTTTTGCTGATCTGGGTGCTAATTGCTGATGGAGAGATTTTTTGGTTCCTTTTGAGGCTGAATGACAGTCTCTTGCCTAGTCTGTATAGGTATTGTTAATATCTATGTGTCTGTTGATGGCCGACTTGATGGCTTCTGGAAATTCCCTGGTGTTTTGGGACTTGGCTTGGTCTAGAACAGTGATGGCAAACCTTTTCGGCACTGAGAGCGTGCACACACTCATCAGGGCCGCTACCTGGAAGAGATGCTGCCCATGGGGCATGTATGTGCCAGAAAATGGACTTCCGACCAGTGAGTCTTTCGGTTACTGGCGTGCATGCACACTTAATGACCAGCTTGCCAGCATGCATGCTCATTCTGGAAAATGGAAGACCAGCTCTTCCAGTTTCTGGCACTGCCGCACGCACAATGGCGTCATCGCACGCATCATCGCATGCGCATGTGCACCAGAAACCCAGAAGAGGGACAGGCAACACGGCTCCGTGTGCCACTTCAGGCATGTGTGTCATAGGTTTGCCATCACGGGTCTAGAATGTCATATTTTCCCAATGAAACTGTGATGAAATCTGTCTGTATATTGTGAAATTAAATGTAATGAAACATCTGCAAGAAAACAAGCAAGCTTAGAGAGCACCAAGGACCCCTCATATATTTATATATAATATAAAAAATCTAACACACATTTATATATTTTGCTGGGCTCTTATGACTCTATAAGTTACATAAACTTTATTGTCATTTTTTGCATACTCGTATTGAAATGAAATGTTGATGCACCTCAATAACTTAAGGCCATCAGCATACCTAATATTCCTTCTTCCTCCTGTTCCTCCCAAAATAACAACCCTGTGAGGTGGGTTGGGCTGAGAGAGAGGGACTGACCCAAAGTTACCCAATTGGATTTCATGCCTGAGGCCAGACTAGCACTCCCTGGATCCTGGTGATTGGCTCAAAGCCACCAAGCTGCTTTTCATTGCTAAGTGTGGACTAGAACTCCCAGTCTCCTGGTTTCTAGGCCAGCACCTTGACCAGTAGCCAAACATGGTTTAAAATAAATGATCATTGTTTAGTGTGTGCTTGTTTTGACGTGCATACGAGTCCTATTTTCTCTTACAATAACCTTTCAAAAATGTGATTGAGGGGGAGTCACCCGTGCAGCTTATTAGCTGGGGAGAGGACACAACCTGCGTCTCCCTACTCCTGGTCAAATATTGCAATTTCTCCACCACCCTGCAATGGTTCTGAGGCTGGTAGTTAGCGACTTGTGTAGAATCCCCCAAGGAGCCGAGGGGGGAGTAGAATGTGGGTTTCCCTGCTCCTTGTTAAGCTCTTTCACTCGCAGATCAAGCAGGCCAAGTGAAAGGGATTGACTTAGAATCCCCCGGGTCTTCATTTATTAAAATCTATATGTCACCCATCTCGTTGATAATGTGACTCTGGGAGGCTTACGGACGGGACATATTAAAAGAGCTTGTTTTTTTTAACTAACAGTGAGGATAATCAGTTGTGGGTCCTTCATCACTGGAGATTTTCAAGAAGAGACCGGACAGTCACTTGTCTGAAATGGTATAGGGTCTCCTGCTTGAGCAGTGGGCTGGACTAGAAGACCTCTAAGGTCCCTTCCAGCTCTTTTATTCTCACTTTTTTTCCTTCCTTCCTTCCTTCCTTCCTTCCTTCCTTCCTTCCTTCCTTCCTTCCTTCCTTCCTTCCTTCACCACTGGAGATTTT